AATTACAATCTGGAAAATTACATTAATGTTTTGGATAATATCAAAGAATATCAATGGCTAGATTCAGGACAAGTAGTCACAATCTAGCCATTGAAAAAGGCAGACATACCAATCCAAAAACCCCATTAGAAAATAGAATTTGTAAACAATGCCCATTACAGGAGATCGAAGACGAATTACACTTTCTTTTAGTTTGCCCACGATATCAAACAGATAGAAATGATTTTATTTCCAATATTTTATTCCCCAAAGAAATCATTACCAACCTGCAAAAATTCACATATTTAATGAAAAGTAATGACAGAAATATAATAAAACTTTTAGGGGAATTTTTACATAAATCATTTATTTTAAGAAATGAGCTTTTTTTGGATATAATACCTTGACTCTTTTTTTCTATTTTTTACGTTATCGTACTTTGATTTTTTTTTTTTTTTAATCACTTATATATTTATTGCTGTAAACCAATAGAACATTTGTAATTCTAAGGATGCAATAAAGTTATTATTATTATTATTATTATATGGGGCCCCAGTTTTAGTTATAAATCTATGTTAGCTTCATGTTCATGTCCTACCATGGCAACAGCTGAAAACATGTTTGTTTTTTGAGAGGAGCTAGCATGTGTTTGCCAAGTGTTTGCACATGTTTTCTTAGCACAGGCTATTATTTTTGACCTCTTTACCCATGCTAAGGAGCTGTGTGCAAAAGCAACTAATGTGTCAAAGCTTAAAAGTTGCATCATGGAGGCAATAAGAATATCACTTATTAACTCCATGGTTGCATAAAAATTCAACAATTATAATTTGGTAAGATAAATCATGAATAATTGATAAAAGTCTGGTTTGTAATAGGGGGTGGTTAAAGCAGGAGTGTTGTGACCTGCACATGCAGTAGTCGTCCACAATGTGACGTTGTTACAAACAAGTGCTACCTAAGAGCCTTTGCAATTTTAGTGTGCTAAATGGGACTCAATTCCTGCGTATGCACAGGTGATAATCTCACTGCTTTAATGAATAAGACAAATATATTATTATATTATTCCAACTCCCTGTGGTATAAGACAGGATGCATTTCTGTGTTTTCACACCATATAAATATTAGTCCTCATTTAAAATTAGATTTTTTTTTTCCATCTTTTATTAAATTAATTACAGGTTTTGATCAACGTTTCTGTAAATTTTTCAAAATTCAATTAGGCGGGCAGTGATTCACAATTCATGTTTTTTGTTACGCCAGATTCCAAGAAAATTACTATAAAGAACACCAGGAGACTGTCAACATAAATAGCGCCCTCTATCAATAAATATTGTGAAGCATGTGGCAGGTTTTTATCATAGCTACATCAATATTTCACATTGAGCATACATTTAATTTCAAATGGTTAAGAGACTTATAATACACACATAATGCAAAGTACAAATATTCATTCACAATTCTGATTAAGTATTTCAATGTAAAATGTTATAGTTTGGGTGAATTAGAAGACTGAATTCTAGTTTTCTGTTGCTATTAAAATGAGAACTTTGATTATGTTTGAGATTAACACCATGACTGAGGATAGGCAGAGACACAAAGAATTTCACAGTTTTTGGAGTAACTTGTTGTTTAATGTGATATTTTCGGCTGCTACATATCCATGAACATATCATCTTGCCTGTACATGTACAAACATTTGTGTTCTTTGGTGGAAAGTCAATTAATTGAGGCATGTAAGTCAGTTGATGAGCATGATAGGTAGGGGCGTGCACTGATCGAAGGTTCAGTAGTGAATTACTTGTTTGTTTGCTCATGGTATTATAATGCTGGACATTGCCTTTAAGTAGCAACTCACGCCTCCCATTTTGTCTCCTTTTTTTTTCTGGCTAACAATAACACTCTTTGCGGACAGTTTGTATTTATATCATTAGATATGCGTTCCAAATTAATCACATAAAAATAAGGTTCAAAGACACGTTCAAAGACCATCCACATTTTTTAATTTCAAGTCGCCTTAGTAATACCTCTTCACATGAATCTTCCACAAGTACAGTATTTTCATCAAATACGGACTATTTATAACATGAGCCTTTGTCCGACAGTTTTAGGACTGCCTCTTATGACATGAGTACATGTATCTTCTTGTTTGGTCGACCATGTTTGCATCTTCAAAATTGTCATGACATTGTAACCACAGATATTTCATTTTCAAATACAGAAATGCAACTATAGGTCACACTCAAAATCCCACAAACATATAGAGTGGATTGCGCATGTGCCAAACCAAATGCAGCATCTCCCAAATCTTGTTAATCGCAATCTGCTGTAATCAACGAACTGTTCAGTTGAATCGCAAACAGTACAGAGAAGTCATTAGATTGTGAGAGACATGTGTCTTTTTATCATATTTCCTGAACTTCTAAACGTCCTTTCATTCTGTAACTTACACTATTATTTGGATAATTTGACTTAAATTCAGAAAATCAACAACAAAAAACAACTTTAAAATTAGTCACGAATGTGACTTGCTACCTTGAGGTGGTTTACAGGTGTAAATGTTCAGAAGGGTTTAAGTGTTTGCGTCAGTTTTTAACTCACCTATTCACAACATGATGTCTGTAGGCTCTCTTTAAGCTGACTGGTGTATCATACAATGTAAGTGCATCAAGTTGCTGACAGGCAGCAAGGCTCTGCAGATGCTCAAGTCGTCCAATCAGGTTGTTATGAAGATGAAGTATTCGTAGTTCACTTAGGTTTTCCCAGAACTCAACACCAGGAAGAATAGATATCTGAAATGATCAAATCATAGTATTACTGGAGTAAAGAAGGATGGCAATTTCATCTCAAGTGAGCTTATCTATAATCACTTGCTGGACAGGCCAATCACTAATTTATGGCAATTACTTCAATGTTCAATGTTTGGTTGTTGGTGCATAGTCAATAGTGGCGTTCACATTAGAGATCTCGGCACATGCCGAGTCTCAGGGCCGAGTGGACACATGCGAAAACTTGTGTGTGAACGGTCGGGAACGAGTCGACACGTGGCAAAAAAAATTTATCTCCATCCCGATAGATGCTAGGGACCAAAACTCGGCATGTGCTGAGATTTGCTGCCTGAATGCTTCACATGAGCCAAAATCACGCCCTCGCTGGTAAATTTAAGAGAACATATGCTGATTTATACTACCAGTAGTATGACAAGACGATGAAGGGGAATTCATATGTAAATGGTCGGATGCTATAGTAATGAATGAAATGAATGCAAAAAGTCTTCAGCAGCGCATATTTATGTGCTTCTGCAATTTGTTTTTTCTTTGCAATGCCACATTGACGTGAAAAAACAATTGTTTTTCGAATCTTCTTTGCTGTTCATCTGCACAGTGACTCGTAATAAATACCATGACAACAAATGGATATAATTCAAAATGCAATTTTAATTATCATCATATGCATATATCTTTTTCAATGTTTGGATCAAATAATAGATTGAAGAGTGAGGGCGTGATTTCAGCACGAGCAGAGTCAGTTCCAAATGGGTCTTGACTAACGTGAACGCAACTGCTGTAATCCCTCTGCAAACACAAGGGATTTAAAATCTCGACACGTGCTGAGATCCTTTAACGTGAATGTAGTAATTAGCATGTAAGCTGTAGTATGTAGGCAGAAACAAAAAATGTTTGTATAATTTGATATCTAACACACCTTGTTACTCTGCACTAATAATTTTATACATGCACTTGAAATCCCAATGGTAAATTGTACAATTTTGAGAGCATGCTGTAGTATCATAAATTCAAATTATAAAGGGAACTTTATAATCTATCAGACCTCAAAACTAATGAACAAATTATTGGTGGTACCGGTACATGACAAAATTACAGTAGCTGAATACTAGTATGTTACACTAAATTAACAAATAATAGAGAAGAGATCAAAGAATTAAACTAAGCTCAACAGTCTACAACTTTTTTATTTAACATTCGGATGTAGTCGGTAGCATTTATAGTTACCGGTAGTTATACATTGAAGTGGAACAATATCCCGATGTTTGATATAGTCATATTTATCTTTATATTGCATTTATTCATTTATACAAGTGATTATGATCTGTGCGCATGCATGGTTACTTGGTGTTTCAGTAACTGTGAAGTGGCAGTGCTTAAACACTTACCTGATTGCTATGAAGGTCCAATTTAACCAATTCAGGACAAGCTATCAGAGCATCGAATTTATTAATATAATTAGAATGTAGTATGCATATCCGAAGTCTTTTACAAGTGTATATACAACCTATATCTCTGAGGTGTACGCCTACCAATCGCACCATTTGGATACTTCTCAGCGTTTCACTTTTAGGATTTTTGATGCAGTTTTCCCTGAGCATACTTTTGGAAAGCGTCACTAAATAACCCCTCTCTTCGGCTTCTTTGTAGAATTTCTCCTGGCGTATCCTCTCTAATCTCGATTCCACGTTAGCAATTTTAGTTGGCGATTCTATCGAGCGGGCAAATTTGCCCCAATCTGGTATGCTGACCATTTTTTTTCCAACTTAGCTGGCGTCCGACGATGACGACCGGAACTTCCAATACACGAAGTTACGTTGCCGAGCAAAGCTATTTCAGGAGAAATTCCAAATCACAGACATACTCACGTAGTCTGTCAGTCGTATTTATTTTCTTTAAATTTTCAGTAGTTGTGCTATTTTGGAAAACAGTCTCGGCAACTCAAGCTTGTGTCAGCCATTGCGATCTAGGTTGCTATAGAGTTTGTTTATGTATGCATGTTGTTAAGCTGTCTACAATTCGTTACTTTGCGTAGATGTTTAGCAAAACATAAATTAGCAGATATAAACAAAATAAAAGTATATATTTATTTATCCATTTGCTAAGAAGAATTATATAAGTAATTTTGGAGCAGTCGACAGATTGAATTCAATCTTTTGAAATCTGGTGCTGTAAATACAATATGACTGCGATTTACCGGATGCAGAATAGAAATAAATAGAGTACGAACACATTTTCCAATTCAGATTGGTAATCATTCAACTGGAATCTGGCTTTCTTGTCGTTGAATAATTATATTATGTTGTCTGTTATTACAAAATACTTTTTATATTTGATTGTTTTTTTATATTTGTGTAAGTTATATCGGTGTCATCAACCATAAGGTACTTACTCACTTACTGTTTTAATACAAGACAGCAGCACCTACATAAACTAAGCCAGTAATACATTCCTTGTATTCAACTTATTATCTTTTTTTTTTTTTATGCCTTTTTGTTCCCTTACTCTTTATGTGGTTATTTTTCTTTTACTAATATCTGATTTGTAACCCTTTTCATCCCCTCCGGGGGATGTTGTGTGTTAATAAATAAATAAATAAATAAATAAATACACAGTAATTGAATCGGAAACTATTCACGGAAACAGGTTAGCGAACGCGGAAGTTTGGAACTCAACTGCGAGCTGTGGTAATATGTCAGGTTCACGATGGCGGTCTATTCCTTGCAAGGTTACTGATTTACGATTGGATATCACATTATTATGTGGACAGTCGTTCAGGTAGGTGTAGTGTATGTTCGATATTGAATCAATTGGCAGGGATCACATAGGCACAATGCACTAAGAAATAATGCTTTTAGCTTGACCACAGTCCCTCATTCAGCTGGACGTTTCGTTTAATCAGCAGGGGAAAAGAATGTAGCAGCTAGTTGCTGCGTTTACACGACAGCATTTTATCAGAGCCCTACGGCTCAAGCCAGCAAAAATGGTCGTCTGTACATGTACGACTCACGCCAAGTTTAACTCCAATAAACCTTCAGGGATGAGCTCTGATAGGATTGGGACCGTGTAAACCAACGATCAGGGCTGAAACCACGCCCTCAATCGTCTTCTTCAAGTAACCTCTCATTTTATTGATGGTTTCTCAGCAGACAACATCGTTTGTAATTTAAAGTAATTTTTAGCTTGACGAAGAGTTACACGCCCTAATATTTGCCACACTGTGTGGACAACTGTAAATGAATGAATGGTAGCATCTGTGATTGCAAAAATAAGAGCTGCATAACGGTGGCATTGGGCAGTAATCATTCACTCATCCCTGCTAGTCCTTTTGGAGCGTACCTGTTTCTAAAGGACAATTTATTCTGCATTGATCTTCTCTGTTGCTCTGACAACACAAGAATGACACCAAAATTGTTTTCAGCCATGTTGTTTTCATCCTATGTAATTTGGGGCGCTGTTCTGTTTGACTCTGAGCAAACTGGATTGAACTCAGGCAGATCTTAGCTCTTATTCAGCCCCGACCGTGTAAATGCATTGGAGATAATCTCTTGTTGATCAGTGGGAGAAGCAGTGGTTTGGCTTTGATAGAGTGCTGTGCAAATGTAGCATACCGTATGTAGGCAGACATAATAAACAAGCAAACTTGGCTCAGGGTCTGCATATTTGTGGTTTGTTGGAATATGTTTCCATTGTGAGTTGCAGGAATAAATTAAGAACGTTGGTCAGAATGTGACAATGTGGAATTTATGTGGACAGGTAGTCTGTTCATTGGGAATTTTGACTGATAAGTAAAATTTGGTAATTTAAATCCAAATTAAATTTTGTGGTCTTAATACCCTTAATAATATGCTAGAAATAGTGAAATTATACCAGTGGAAATAAATGTTTTTACAGTAGTAGTTTTATCAGTGAATAAATAATCATGCATGGTTAGTTTTGTGTCATTCAAGATGCTTATAATGTGTCAGTAAGCTACCATTTCAATTGTTGTGGGTGCTTTGACACCTTGTCACTGGAGTTAAGTGTCCGGTTTGCTATAATCCTCATTACCATTTCAATTATGTGTGTTTTGACACTGTGTCGCATGCACAAAAATATGTTATGAATTTTAAAGCCATACACTCAATATATATTTAACTTCTTTTATCCAATGTTATATTGATTATGAATATAAAGTACAAACAGGGATTTATAACCTAACGATTTATTTGTGGCCATTGAGGTAAAATGAACAGTAGTACCGGTATATCATTTCCATCTCCACCCTAATCCACAACTTGTACGTCTATGGAATATGTGAAATTACTGAAGGACAAAAATATCTCAAACTTTATTTGACCCAATCCCACTGCTCTACTAATAATAGCAGAATAGTGTTTAATACTTGTAAGCAATAATTGATACAGCTAACAATAAGTTCACCCCAACATCCATACAAATTAATAAAGCGGTCTTGTGATTATGCCCCTCCCCTCATTAGTTGCATGTCCTGGAAACATCCATGAAGTAGACCTGTCCATAAAATCAGAGTGATATATGTCTGACAGTTCTTACAAGTAACATATCATTATCAGAATTAAAATTAAAGGTTAAAGTTAAAAACAAGAATGTTACTTCTAGATGTAAATTTCAGAAAGAAAACATTAATATTAATTAGTCCATTGGTAATTATGTATGGTTGTTTGTTGTTTTATAGATGGAAGGAGAAGCAGCCTGGACTGTGGAGTGGTGTACTAAAGGGAAAGGTATGGACACTAAAACAGACGCAGGATGAATTATTATATCAAGTATGTGAGAGAGAAAAGACTGATCTTCACAGTCGAAAAAGGAGTTCCACAGATGCAGAGATCTGTAAAAGTAAACGAGCCAAGCTACAATATGGGTTATATACAAATATTGCCACAGATGAAAAAGTTACGAAAAATGAAATAAGCGACAACAGTTTGATACATGACAATATTCTTAAAGATTATTTCCATCTGAATGTTGATTTGCAAGATTTGTACCAAAAATGGAGTGCAGTAGATGATAATTTTAAAGCTGTCGCTGCCAACTTTACTGGAATTCGTCTATTAAAACAAGATCCGGTAGAAAACCTGTTTTCATTTATTTGTTCCTCAAATAATAATATTACAAGAATAAGTGGAATGGTAGAACGCATGTGCCAGAAATACGGTGAAAAGATATGCGAAGTGGAAGGACTACCTTATTACTCGTTTCCATCTGTATCAGCACTGGCTAGCAAACAAACTGAGCAACAGCTCAGGGAACTTGGATTTGGGTACAGAGCAAAATATATTAGTCAAGCCGCAATGCACATTATGGAGAATTATAATGAGAACTGGTTGGCATCGCTACGAGATGTTTCTTACAAAGAAGCGCATGTGCAGTTGATGAAGTTAGCAGGAGTTGGAGCAAAGGTTAGTTTTCAGGGATAATTTCAGTCTCATATCAGGTGTCATTGAATTAATAACGCAAATACTAAAAACACAAATGAACAAAGGAGTCAGAATAAGCTAGATACACTGTAGATCAATGTTTTTTTCAACTGTGACACAGAAAATAATAAAACATAAATAAAAATGAATGAATGAGTAGAAATCAGATGCACTAAATATCACTACGTTTCCTACAGTTAGACAGCTTGCAGCCAAAAAAAAGTACCGATAACTAATCTAAAAAAAATCTTCTCAGTAAAATAAATGGAAAGTCCAACAATATATCCATGAATATAAAAAAAACTAACATGTTGCTTGAAAACAGGAAAGGTAAACAGCTGATTTTAACATAGGGCTTTGTGCAAAAGATGCAAGTTCCCCCCTAAATGCCCTCTACAGTTCAATTTTCTATCCAACGATCCTTTGCAAATTGAATATAGAGTAAACACATTTCTTCCCTATATGAGGGGAAAGTTAGTAGTTTTCTCAACAGAATCTAGGTGGCTATTTGCATTAAAGGTCTACTGTTTTTCATATATATATATGTTTATTTGGTATTACATGGATTAAACAATTCAAAACAATCGGCAACTTTTTGTGATAGTTCAATTTTTTTTCTCCAAAGAAAAGGGTATGCAACTATGGTATCTACGGTATGTACAGTGATGTGTAATAAAGAGCTTGTGATGTCCATGTTTACATATTAAATCAAATGAGATGTTAAAAAATAAAAAACACACGATACATGCAGATGACCACTAGCCAGTCCTTTCATGGAATCACTCATTTACATTTTTTCTATTCACGCGAGATCGTCATTGCATATCACATATTGCCAACCCTCATCTTAGAAATCTTTGATAAAACTTATGTTGTACAGATTTAAAAATTACATGTTTTCAAAGTAGGTTTTCCACAAACAAAAGTGGACTCTGTTCAATGTTTCTTTGACAGTTTTTCTTCTGTTTTCTCTGCTAGGTAGCAGACTGTGTGTGTTTGATGTCATTGAATAAATACAATGCTATACCTGTGGATACGCACGTGTGGCAAATCGCTACCAGAGACTACATGAAATCTTTGCGCAAAACAAAATCATTAACTGACAAAGTCTACAAACAAGTTGGTGATTTTTTCAGAGAGCTTTATGGAGAGTATGCTGGCTGGGCACACTCGGTAAGTCCAAGTGTCTTTTACTTGTAATCAAGTGAACCCCATTCTATAGTATTCAAGGAATTTCACATTCAGTGCTCCGTTAGAATCATGTACAGTAAATGTATATAATTACAGAATAGTAAATGACTTATTGGTACACCTTTATCAGTCAACGTTATACATACTGCTCATACTTGTATAGGTAATTGCTATGCTTAGACTAGACTAGATGAATGTCTATGGTTGTGAGACTGAATAAAGAATACCGGTAATAGACTAGTGAATCGGTCTAAAAGGTGGGCATAACTTACATTGTACTAGTCAGTCCGCACATGCATGTTTCCATGGTAATGTACTGAAGTCATGAAAAAAGTCAATGATCAAAGGGTGGGCATAACTTACATTGTACTGGTCAGTCTGCACATGCATGTTTCCATGGTAATGTACTGAAGTCATGGAAAAAGCCAATGATAAAAGGGTGGGCATAACTTACATTGTACTGGTCAGTCTGCACATGCATGTTTCCATGGTAATGTACTGAAGCCAATGACACAGAATTGCACATGCCTATACAGACTACACAGCCATTTACCAGGCTACTCTTGGGTGTACATGGAATGATTTGGGACTATGTTCAGACTGTATAATGGGGATAATCAACTGAATGAATTTAGTATGCTTGTTTCCTTATCCAAATTTCTGTGTATAAATTGGCTGATGATGTACAGCAAAATCCTGTTCCTGTCCACTTTTAAGTATCTAGTATCTTACAACATATAAGAAAGTGATGTATACATGTATAAGTAGAGCCGCCACAGTTGAAATAGAAAAATGTTCAGCCAATGAGATTGCTCCATCCAACTAGAATAGAGAATATTTAATTTTATTTTGATTTCCCTGTCATATGGCTTTGTACCTGCCTGTAGTGACTACTGATTAAAATTTACTTTATAAAATGGCATATTTAGGGCCTATCAATTTGTTGGAAACAAAATCATGCAGCATGCAGGTGGTCAATGCATTTACATGTAATTCAGAATTATTGATTCAAAGGTCAAATTCCTGTCTTGACATATTTCATAGGTTTTATTCAGTGCTGAACTGAGAAAATTTCAAGATTTGAAAAAGGAACCGAACTCGGTAGGTGTTATTTCAATTTCAAGCCCTACAGTTATGACGCAGCACATGTTCTAATATCATGTAATTAAACAATGTGTTTTATACGTGTTGTATGTCACTATGGTTACCATTTAGAACAAGACGTGGTGAGATGACTGTAGTGCTTTAAGCAGAGATCCTCTTACTTTTATATTCTGGTTACTAGTGCCATGGACGTACTAACACAGAATGAACCACTGACCAATTTCCTTTGATCTATCTGTTTTGCCGCTGTTTATTTTGAAGTAATAAATAAACATTGATGTTTACTTCTAATTACGCTTAAGATCGTAATCGCGTAACCGGGTGATCCCCAAGTCTATTTATTATTATTGGTGAAATAAATCATAAATCCAAAATTTACACAGTGCGTTCGGCAGTTCTCGAAGTCATTCGGACATAATGGTCATCATGTGGTCATGTGACATTTCCCAAAGGTGGCGTCGGAGCTCATTGCCGCTAAAAGTGAAAACAGATTAACAAAAAAGCAGCAAGTTGACAGCGTGTTTTAAACCTGCTATCTTGTGCTATCACTAACGTTGATCACGGTAAAAAACAGGAATAATAAACATTCAAATTCGATATTAAATTTGTTCGCGCAAATCAAAGTAAAGTGGAAATATCATGCGATAACAAATTAAAGCAAAAATTGGTAAATGGTATGAAATATAATATTTTTCACATGATGTACACTCTTTTTTAATATCCAATTACATTGATCTTGTTTTATCATGCTTTATCTGTATGTTTATTGTTAAGACAAAGGTATGAAGAGGATTTCAACACATTATAACACCAAAAGCAAACTTTCTCGAGTGCTTTTTTAATCCTCATAACTCAGTGGTTCATCCTTTGGTAGTACGTCCATGCTAATGTTTATCGTTTCCAACAGCTAAAATAGCTGCCAAGATTGAGATGGGTCATCATACTTGTTTTTAACCCCAAATAGTGTTCCCTCCTCTCCATCACTGCATTCAACCATGGGATTTGGGACAGTGGAATAGTGAAAAGATGCACTATTTGAGGACCAAAAGTAAGTCACATGACTGAATACACAGGTCATATGTAGTTTGAGGTGAGACTTTT